TTTTTTTTTTTTCGGGATATATTAATAATATATACAAATATAAATGGTGTTATAAAAATATTTAAAGAGAAAAAAAAGAAAAAAAGAAAAAATATGAAATATTTAAGAAAAAAGAAAAAGAAAAAAAAAGGCTTATATATTTTTTTTAAACATAGGGAAAGATTATTCAAAAAAAGTAAATCTCTAATTATATCTAATATTTAATATTATTTTGTATGTTAGAACGAGCTATTAGTAAGGTATATTATTTATTTGATAAAATAACATTAAACATAAATTTTTTTTTTTTTTTTAAATCGTAAAAATTTCCTTAAAAAAAATTAGTTGTTTTTTTTCTTTGAAAAACTTGATTTTTTTACCAGTTTTTTTTAAAAAAAACTGCAAAATTAATTGTAGCCTGTCATCACGATCAAAAATAAAAGAAGTGTGACGAAGCATAAATGAATCGTAAAATTATGATAAAAGTGATTTAACATCGGTAGGCTTTCGCCTATGATGATCTGAACATGTTGAAGAGGTTGATGGAGATCTTGATAATCTTGAATTTTCATCAAATAAACCCTCTTTTGATTCGTACTCTCCCGCAGATGAAGGAGGAGTGAGAAACTCGAATTCACGTTCGCATAATCGAGAACGAAGTTTAAGCATCTATTATAAGAATCACGTCACGTGATAGATAAAATTAGTTATTTGATGGGAAGATCGTATGAAAGGATGATAATATAATAAACTGGAAATATATTTACCTCTTTCTCTTGTTCTTGAAATTTTTTATTTGTAGAGTCTCTCTCATCATTAGCATCCTCCAATTTTTTTTCTAATTCAGCGATACGTTTAGCACTATCAGTACTCTCCAATTCTTGAACTCTCCTTTCAAGAAATTGACATTTTTCTTGCATTTCTCTTTCACGTTGCTTTCGACGATCTCTAAAACGAGCAGATGCACCAGCATTACGACGTCTTTTTTCAGCCAGTAATTCACTTGCAGGATCAACTACTGGTCTTACTTGTTGATGATAAATTGGATGAGCATAAGGATGATGCATTGGTCTTATCACCATGCCAGGATGATGTGAAGAAGGTTGCATATGAGGTGGCGCGCTGCCAGCAGCCCTCGTTGGTGAAAAAGGTTGAGACCGTTGATCGATATATTGTTGATGAGAAGTTGGTGGTGTATCAGGTTGAAAATGAAAATGGCCATTAGGAGTATGTGGTGACGTAAGTTCGGGTTTCTGTGGTGATATCAAGTAAGGTTGTGTGGATTGTGAAATATGTAAAGGATTTGAATTGTTTGTAAAATCTGCTGGAGAAGTTAATGGGGAAATTAAAGGTATTGGAGGTGCAAGACATGATACAGGCGGTAAAACTGGTTTTGGGACATTACTAGTTGCAGAGGGGGATGATGGTTTAAGTGTCATAATAGGAGGTAAAACTCGATCACCTGTACTAGATTGAAAGGCCATGTTTAATAAATTTCAGTTTCTGATTTTCTTTTTAGATAAATAAAAAAAAGATATAAACCAAATCAAATTTATTCACTTTCAACTGTACAGAAGATTTTTTTTTCTTTTTAATTAAGGAAAATTTTTTTTTGAAAGAAAAAAGAATATGTATATAATATATATATATATATATATATATATATATATGTTTGATATAATAAAATCAAATATATATATTTTTGACCTAAAGTTATTTTTGATGAAATGTTATTATATTATTCGTTAAAACTATTTTTTTTTAAAAAAAAAAAAAAATTTTTTTTTTCGTTACGTTTTCTCGTTAAAAAATTTTCTTTTCGTTCGTGCAAATTACTAATAAAATTTTTTTTGATTTCTTTTTTAAAATGATTTATAAAATTTCGTATTGCAGGAAACGATTTTTGATAATACTAAGTTAATGTAATATTAACTTATGGGTTCATGTACTCCTTGCTTTTTTTTTCTTGATTGCCAACAAAAAATTCAATTTTCTGTAAAAAAACAAAAAGAAAATAAAAGAAAAAGAGAAGAATTAGTCAGCTACCAAGATTGATTTTTTTTTTTTTTCCTTTTTTTTTCTGTTCTGTGTTAGTTTTAAAAAAAACGAAGACAGAAGGTCGGTTTATCAATGAAGAAAGAAGATAAAAGAAATGGATGGAATGAAATAATTGTTTTTAAAGTTTAAAAAGAACAAAGAAAAAAAAAAAAAAAAATTTTTTTTTTAAA